TCGCACAGTGAGAGCCAGTTGAAAAATAAGTAAAACCCCAGGGAGCATTTAGGCACAAACCAACTTAGATGAACGTGGATTTCTCAGCTCAGCCTGCCAGCTGGATGGCTTTTACATTCTGTTTGAGCTAAGCTATGCTGTCCCAGAGGTTGTTGCAAATTCACTCGCGCTCTATGCACGTCAAAAACTCAGGCAGAAATTCGCTTTGAAACGCTGACATTTTTTAACATATCGCCAAAACCAGGGACAAACGGGGGTCTGAGAAACATGTTTGGTGCCTTCAGAGGGTCAATGAGAGGAGCTGTCACCAGATGTATGCTTCCAGGTGACACAGGGAAAGCAGTGGGTCATCCAGGGCATCCACACAACAGCAAGTATTCAGACGTTGGAAAAGTCCCGATGATTGATTTTTCACTTCCTTTTCTGTTGTCTAGCATCAGATAGCTTAATGAACCCTAACCTAACGTATTCCAACTGATACATTAAAATGTAGTCTTTCATGAAAGCTTCCCCTGAAATGAGACTTTCTTTTCAGTGTCAGCTATCATGGCTGTTTATTGACTGCTACAAAGGTGACAAGCAGCACACCAGACTCTACACACATGATCTCATTTTCTCCTAACAAACATGTGTTCATTCATGTAACAAACATTAGCAGACCGCCATTGAAGCACAGATGACAGGGGACTGTTTTGCCAATGAGCCACTCAAGTTTCAGAGAAGGTAAGTGGCTTGTGCCAAGTCACATAGAAGGTAAGTAGGAGAGTCAAGAAATGAATGGCCTGGGTTTCCACACCGTTCCCAGCAGGCCACACCTCTCTGGGGGTGAACTAACACATGAAAGGAACTATCCCTAGATGTGACGTCTGGAGATCTAAGTACTCAGCTTGGCCAGTTACTGGTCGTGTGATCCTGGGCAAGTCACTTCATCCTTTTGGGTTTATTTCTTTATCTTCATGGTAAATTGCTGAACCCTTTTTGACCTACCTTTTGTTGTTTCTGTGAGAATTCAATGCTATAAAGTAACAATATGGGTGAATCTCACAAACATAATGTTGAGTGAAGGAAGGGGAATGTTAAAGAGTACAGACTGTATGATCCCATTTATAAGAACTTAAAAGCAGGCCAAATGAATAACAAGTCAGAATACTGGTTTCCTTTGGGAGAAGAAGGAGGTTCTGATTAGCAGTGTGAATAAGAGAGGTTTTGGAGTTCTGGAAATGTGTTTTTAATAAGAACCATAAATGTAAAAAATTATATAGGTATATGAAATGACTTTGAAAATAGTTAGTATACTCAAATATCAGGAAATGTTTTGAATATGGTTTCCACGTCCGCCTCCCTGCCTGCCTGTGCCCTGCTCAGGTGTGGCTGATGCCAACAGGGCCCCCCTGCCCTGGGCTCTCTTGTCCTCTCTGGTTAGACCCCAGGGCAGGGCTCCAGTTCTAGAAAAAAGCAAGGGCTGAGGTTTGTGTGTGAACTGAGCTTCCAAAGAACTCCAGATCTCAGAGCTGGTGTCTCTCAGGCAGGCTTCCATTCTCTTTGAGAACACTCCTGCTGGAGTCACCCAGCCTCTGCTCAAACGATGCCAGTGATGAGAACTCACAACTCTGTAAAACTGACCATGGTGGGGAGCCTTTGGGGTTCCATCAGTCACAGTCTGCCCTGTGGCTTCCATCCTGGGAACAGGGACAACGTTGAAGGAGCCTGTACCTTCTTCCTTGTTATCTTCATATGTATACATTTGTTAACTTTTATTTAAGTGCAGGTTTGTTACATAGGTAAACTTGTTCATGGGGGCTTGTTATACAGATTATTTCATTACCCAGGTATTACGCCTACTACCCATTAGCTGTTTTTCCTGATCCTCTTCCTCCTCCCACCCTCCACCCTCCAAAACACCCCAGTGTGTGTTGTTCCCCTCTATATGTCCACGTGTTCTCATCAGTTAGCTCCCACTTGTAAGGGAGAACGTGTGGTATTTAGTTTTCTGTTCCTATGTTAGTTTGCTAAGGATAATGGCCTCCAGCTCCATCCAAGTTCCTGCAATGAATATGATCTCATTCTTTTTTATGGCTGCATATTCTATGGTATACATGTACCACTTTTTCTTTATCCAGTCTATCATTCATTGATGGGCATTTAGATTGATTCCATGTCTTTGCTATTGTGAATAGTGCTGCAATGAACAAGCACATGTATGTGTCTTTATGATGGAATGATTTATATTTCTTTGGGTATATACCCAGTAATGGAATTACTGGGTTGAATGGTATTTCTGTGTTTAGGTATAATTTTTCACTTGAAAATATTTTTCTTTGATTCTGTTATTTTAATGTATAACTCATAGAACAACAGTCGTCTAATCTGGCAATTCACTTCCTAAGATGAAATATGCACAATAAATAATGCAATAATTTTTCTCTAATGTATATCAATTTCTACTTATCAAATTTCCACATATGGTCCCCTTTTTAATGTTTTTCACAGGTAATATGTAATTTTATTTTTATCTTTTATGTGGCACGAAAAAAGAACTAAAATTTATTTTAAAGCTAATGCTTTATAATATTTATATAAAGTAAGAGCTCAGTTTTTTTCTCTCTAGGCCTCTGTCTTCTAATCCTATCTACTGGAAGTAACCATTGTAAACAACTTGATCTTGTTTGTGAATTGATTTTTTTCTTTTGCTTTTACAGATACAACAACAAAAATATGCACGAGTTTTATCTACTGTTTAAGGAAAATGGAATAAGGTACTGCATCAAGGGTTACAAAGGGAAGCAAACTGAACATGAGATGGTATGGAGTGGTGGGGCCTGGGGAAACTGAGGCAGACAGCTATGTCTAAAGGGGGCAGATTTCCACACCTCATAGAATTGCTGCCCATGGGAATACAGGCTGGCTTACTAAAGCTTCAGATTTTCCAAGAGAAGTTGAAATCAAGATTGTTGTATGACAATTCCTTGTTTTTAAATGTTGGCAACAAAGTCAAATTTGTTAAGAAAGGTGCCAGCCACAATAAATACTTCTTCAGGCCTTGTCCAGCCAGCAGATGGCCAGATTGGAATCTCCATTAAAAATATCAGTCAGCCACTTGCTTATTTTCCTATAAACTGTAGTGTAGTTATCTTTCCAGATCAGCACATGTATATTCCTTAATTCTTCTTAAAGACCGCATAGTATTTCATCACATAGCCGGAACCTTTATCAGTTCCTTACTGATGGTTAGGACTTCTGCAAATGTTTAAACATCGTGTTTCTTAGTCCCTACTTCTGGCCTAGAATGTTTCTCCAACGTTCCATCTTTCCACTTCCCTCCTCTATTTCTCAGAGCTGTTTCCTGACCACACTTCTCCCAGACCACCTTCAAATGAATGACTGAGCTCTTCCACTTACTCATCATTTACAGCAGTATAATTTTAGACAAAATTCGTTTGAAGTCAGTTTGAGAGAAATGTGACCATATATACTGGAGCATTTTAGTTCATAACCATTGATCCAGGCCCCTTTTAATCTCCCAACTGTCTCCACTTGGAAAATAAATTTCACAGCCATCTTCCCCATAATCCTACCCACCAGACAAAACCACTCTTAACATTTTGTTATAATCCACTCCAGTCATTTTTATAGGTATTTTACGTCTTTGATCTTATTCTACATATAAAATTTTATACTCTAATTTTATATTTAACACTGAAATCTAGGCATTTTATGATATTATTCAAAACGTTTTACAGATCTTTGAATGACTACATTATTTTTATTCTCACTTGTTTAATATCACTCTTATTTTTAGAAACTTCATTTATTTCCAAATATTAATATTATAAACAGCATCGCAATGAATGCCTTTAGGCAGAAAAATCTTTCTTCATTTCAGATAAATTTCCATTAATAGAATCCCAGAAAGAGAATTTCCCAGGTAAGGGTAAGAATATTTTCAAGACTCTTGAATAGCATGCCACGTTCCTTTCCTAAAGCCTGGAGCCACTTTATATTTCTTCCAGCTGTGTTGAGTGTGTCTGTGTCACTGCACTCAATCTCTGATATTGAATATTCACATTTTTTACAGTTCTATTAATCTGTTATGTTAAAAATAGTATCTCATTGTTATTCTAATTTCCATTTTGTTGATAATGAGTGAGGTTGAAAAATGTTCAAATGTTTATTAGCCATTAATATGCCTCTATTTCATTGTCTTTGTTCCTTTCCCCTTTATTTATTGGGAACTTAATGCTTTCATTACCTTTTGGCAGGAGTTCTTTTTCTATTAAGGATACCACCCTTTGTCCTATTTGAAGCAAGTATTTCCTCTGGTTTATTTGCCTGTTAAGCAATTTTGAGAGAAATCGTACGTGAAAAATCTACTGATCTCCCTCTCTGTTATTTCTTCTACTCCTTTTGAGCTTAAAAAATGATCACTCCAGTTTATATACAGATTTGACCACTATTTATTTCCATTTTCTACTAGATTTTTATGATTTATGATTTATTTATTTTTAAACAAGCTCAATTCTTCTTAGTGAGGGCATACAATATAAGGCTGAGGTTTAATAGGAAGTTATCAACTGTATTTTGTTTTGTTCTTCTTCTTGGAAATCCTATTTCTGTTATTGATTGTACATTTTAATAAGATACTTCTGTTCCAAGCCAATTATGCAAAGACACAATTGGAAACATAAAGAATAAAGAATAAATGCTTTTTCTCTCACTTCATTATTCAGATGGAGAAATGCTAATTGCCACTCAGCATAAGACATTTCTTGCTTTTAACCAAGTAAATTTGGTAAAAAAAATACACATATTCTTTGTCTGGGGTAATAGTAGAAATGAAGTGTTGAATTACTAAAATCTGTTGTTTTCTAGGTAGCTATGCACAGTAACTGTTATCTACAGATGAATTCTAGTTCAAAGGGTTTCTATGAGTTGTTAACCAAAAATTCAGTGACAAGGACTAGCACAATTTTGTAATGCAAAAGAAAATGCCAAGCAAACTCTCCAGACAATAGGCTATTTATTACAGTTTGTCGAAGTGAAGCAAGTACATAATTTCTTGATGCAGCTGACACATTCAATTATCTTCTAAAAGTTTCTATCACAGGACTCCTTTCAGCCATATATTGGGTACAAAAATGTAATCCATAATTACAGATATTTCATGTGCTTTATATGAAAAACCCAACAATCCCTTCCTGAGGCATTCTGTCTTCCAGACAAACTGGAAAAAGAAAATAAATGCTTGGCAATCAAGACTTGCAAAGTGGCGGTGAGGGGCAGTCAAGTAGCTGACAGCTGAAAACAAGGAAAAAATTTGTACTATGTAGCCTATGGTTTGGATTTGCAGAGGAAATAATTTGTTGTATATCATAGACTCACAGATGTCTGGGACTGAAAAGGACTTTGTGAGCATTAATTTTGTCTATCTCCCTGCTTGTCCGATAGCCAATAAAACTTTCCAAATCTAGGTGTGTATCTTACAAATCAAAATGTGATAATGTGGAAAATCAGAGGCTAGGCTTAAGACCAATTCCACCATTTCCTAACAGCATTTCCTTGGGGGATAATGTGTCCAACTCAAACAATCCTGAATTCTTTTCTGAATATATAAGGTTCTTAATGTGTCCCTGGCTGAGTTTATGTGATGTTAATATGATACCATGCATGAGACTTCCAGCTCCTTCTTAACAATAAACGTCAGTCATTTCTCTCCCTCCCTCACCACTCCCCACAGAGAGATTTGGAAGGAAAAGCTGTCAAATAACCTCAAGATATTTAACAATACATACCAACCCTCTAAGATAGGAAACTTCCCTGCATGCCTAACTTATATTTTTCATGTTGTAGCTTTAGCCCATTTCTTCTGATTTACTTGCCAGTAGAGTGTTTGAGTAGAGATGATAAAACTTGGTAAAATAACCTTTCATTTGATGTTTCTGTAGACTTGATAACTGCCATCCATGGATGGTTCAGGGGCCTTCTCTTCCTTCCCGAAAGCCTTAAATAAATGACAGAGAGTAAGATTAGATTGCCAAATAGCATCTGACAAATGCCTTCTTTTTTCCTTTATATTTTATAGCCATCTCCCCTACCTCCACCCTGTGTGCTTTGCATTTATAATTCTAGAAAGGAATACCTAAGATGTTTTTCCTGGTTTTAGGTTGAACTGTCCTCTTCAAGTCATCTATTCATCACAGCAAAGGCCAAGGAAATGCATTTTGCGGATCACTTCCATTGTCCATGAGCTATTTTGTGGCTGAACTGAATTTGGCATTTAATCTTAGCTTCCCCTCAAATTAATGTCAATTGACTGCATTAAATGCTTGTCTGTTTTACTTAAAATGCATAAGACAAGTATAAAACAAAATATACTCACGGGTATAAAGAAAAAGTTCTCTCATTTATGGAAAATACTTAATAAATTAGGAGGAGCTTAAGAGAACATCTTTTCATTTTCAAATAAGGTAAACCAAGGCTCAGAGATGTCCAAGGAGATGCCAACACCATAAATGAGTTAGTCAGTGTACATTAAGGAATGAGTTGCATTTGGTGACTCATTTAGTTCTCTATTTGTCTATTCCCGAGCTGATGGAAAGGATTTGCACGACTCAGGTCATTGTCTTTAAAGTCATTCTTTAAAACCACACATAGAAGTCACATATGGTTGGGAAAAACTTAACATTGCTTGGGAAAATAGCTAAGACAATCACTAGCAGAGAATTAATTGGCAGTCAAACAAAATCAGCAGAAAATAATCAATGATTATTTTTCTACTTGGCAATCATTACCATCATTATTATTATAGTGGGGTAGTTGACATTATTGTTCAGCAAATGTGCACTTCCTTCCCCATCCTGCTGTGGGTGGAATTAACCCACTCTATTGATGTTGGGGTTGCCATGTAACTTGCTTTGACCAGTACATATTAGCAGAGATGATGCGAGCTGAAGCCTCAAATGTGCTGGTGTCTTTCAGCTTTCTTGGTTCTCTGGTGACCCACCATGAGAAGAGTATGACTCAGATAGCTATTGTTTCTTAACCTTGGCCCTGGAGTAAACACTCATGGAACAAAACTGAACCCAACCAGCAGCTGGAGCCAAGTCCAGCTGACCTACAGGTTGGAGCAGAGCTGTTCATTTAAGTCCATAGTGTAATAATAAAATCAACCTGCAGACTTTTAAACAAAAGAATATATGAGAGTCATCGTAAGCCTCTGAGTTTGAAGGTGGTTTGTGATGCAGCATCATTGTGGCAATGGCTGATAGTGCATATAACTAGCCTTTGAATATGAGCTACATGACAGGCTCTGTCGTCAGCACTTTAATGATCTCACTTCAATCTGATAATAACACCATTATGTAGACTACATTATTAATTCCATATTATAGATGAGAACATGGATGTTCAGAAGGGTCAGGAAACTTACCCAAGAAGATATAACAAGTGGCTGCAAAATTAACTGGATCAATGTCTTCCTAATTCCAACATCTTTGATGTTCTAACTATGTCTTTTCTCCTGAAAGAGGAGAAATTAAAGCTATTTTTTGTACTCACCGAAGAGTTTATGTTGTGGTCCTGAAAACAAACAACTGCCACTCAACTGCTTTCTTCTATTCCCAATTGTTATCACAAATGAATTGTTAAGGGTTGCATTCCAACTTTTGCCAATAACTGGACTGATTCAGCTCTTAGAAGTGCATTCTAAGAGCAATTGATAAAGAGTTGTCCCAGAGAGGTAGACTAGTAATTTTTCAGATGACTTCCACCGCAAAATGCCATCAAGCTTAGGAGATGCATGTCTTGGCCATGAAAAACTAAGCGATAACACTGCTTTGATGTTCAGTGTCATCTATAAACTCTCTGGAGCCTCAGAGATTAATATCATATAAAATATTCCCTGCTTTGACTGTAGTGAGAGCAACCCAACAAGATATTCTTTTTTTCAGGCAAATAACAATTCCTTTATTAGAATTAACTCATTTACAGTACTTTTATTTTTATGTTTTCCTGGGAGCTTCAGAACAACCTCACTGTCTCCATTATACATTTCTGAAAATATTCATTTCTTATAGGAAAGGAAGGAAGCTCTCTACTAAAGCTCTAGCTACATTCTCCTATATCTCTGATTTCTTCTACTGGTCCTCTCTCCTCCAAACTCTGGCATCAGTGAGACATGCCCACAGCTAGGAGGAAAGGGCAACCTTACTTCCCCAGCTTCGGTAAGAAGGTTTTCTTGACAATTCCATAGAGAAGTGGGATGGAAGTTCTTTGAGTGGTGAGCTGGGTATGGCTTCTCCTAAGAAGGTTTGATCTTCCTATAGGAATGGGAAGGAGGCAGGCAATGCTGGTAGAGATTAGTCTAGCTACAATGCAATATCCAAAAAGGATGGTCCTTATAAATTTTGAGTCTTGGCTTCATGTCTTCTGTGCAGAATATTTGTGAGGTGCAGGAAGCAGATAGATGGGAGTTAGAAGCAATGCCAGCAACAGCATCACATATCAGTATGTTAACCACCAACGACCTGATCCTTCATTTTCTGGCACAGCATAAGGCTGAGAATCTTATAACCCCAGAATGGGATTAGAATCACAACAATAACTGAGATACCCAGTGAATGGAAGATCCTAACATAATATCTGATTCATTCCTTCATTAGCCCATTTGACAAATATTTATGAAAGGTCTACTATGTGAAAAACATACAGAGATGAAAAAAAGAAGCAGACTCTTGTGGATCTTACAGTCTAGTGACAGATGAGAAAGGGAGAAACAAATACATATAGGACACAACATAAGTTAGCACAGTGAAAAAAGGTAAGGCAGGATAAAGAATGGATTGGAATAATTTACATATGGTGGTCAGATAGTCTCTGTTAGAAAGAAACATTTGAATAAAGCCCTCAACGAAACGAGAGCATAAACCCTGTAAGTATCTAGGGGAAAAGAGCCCTGGCCAATGCAACAGCCTAGAATTGTGAGCATGGTTGGTCTTGTCAAAGAATTACAGTGAGGCCAGTGTGCATGGAGAACGGTGAGTGAGGAAATCAGTGGTAGGTAGACAGGAGCCAGATCATGTAGAATCTTATAAGGGACGACTGCAATTTAGATTCTATTGCTGGTAAGATCAGACGCCACCAGAAGGTTTTCATCATGAAAATGACCCGGCTTTATTTTAAAAGAAGTCCTCTGACTACTGTGTCAAGAGACCATGGCCTTGTAAGAGTAGAAGTATGGAGACCAGATAAGAGATTATTAATAAAGGCAAGACATGATGGTGGTTATTTGAAGGAGCCTGAGAGCAGTGTAGGAGTTGAAGAGTGGTTGGATTATGGATACATTTTGAAGGTAGAACCAACAGAATTTGATAAGAGCTTGCATTTAAAATGCGAGATGAGAGTATTCAAAACTGATTGCAAACACTTTGACTTGAGCAACTGGGTGCATGGTAGCATCATTTACTGCATGGGAAATACTGGGAGAGGGGAGGGTTAGTGTGGACAGGGGAGAAGGTAAGGGCTGTATTTGGAGATGTCTATTAGACATCCAAATGGAAATGCTACATAGAAGGTTGGATACACAAGTCTGGAGTTCAGGGGAGAGGTGTTGGCTAGAGATAGAAATTTACAAGTCATTAGAGTAGCCATGAGAGGAATAAGTCAGGTCCTACGTTTGAAGCCTGAAAATAAGAAAACGAGTCAACAAAGTAGCCTGAAAGGGAAACAAAGTGAAGTGGAAGAAAAATCAGGGGATTAATGTCTCAGAGGCCAAGGAAAGAAAGTGTTTGAGGAAGGAGATATTGCAATACGTTGCTAGTTAGTCAGGTAACTGGAAGACTGAAGATTGACTGTGGGATTTGGCAATGTGGATTTCATTGATGACTACTGTGAAAGCTGTTTCTCTGCAATGATGAGGGCAAAACCATTAATGGAGTTGATCTGAGAGTGTTTCTGAGGAATTTTGCTACAAAGGCACAAAGTGAGGTGGGGGTTAGAGGAGTCAAGAGAAGTTTGTGTTTGTCTTTTTGTTTTAATCATGAAGGTAACACAGCTATTTTTATGTTATTGAAGATGATCTAGGAGAAAGAAAAAATTTGATAATGTCGAATAGAGAGAGCAAGACTGATGGCAGGACTAACGGCTATGAGAGTTCTGGGGAATGGGATCCAGTTACATATGGAAGGATTGGTCCTACACAGCAGTATGGATATAATTCATCATCATGGGCGGGGAACCAGAGGATATCATTACACATAAAGATGGGTTAGGAGATTGGGGTAGGAGAATGAGGAAATACTCTTCTTACAAATTCTATTTTTTCAGCAAAATGAGAGTGAGCCACATGTTGATACTGAGGATGAGGAGGGGATATTGAAGGTTTAAGGAAAAAAGAGAGGTGAGTTGTCACCTAGGAGGATAGAAGAATGTTACAAGAATTGTGTAAGGGACTCTTGGCAGTGATGGGCGCTCAGTAAAGTCATAAACTAAAGTGTGGCCAGTCAGCCTGGGTGTGTGTGCTTCTCAAACCACATTCAGCCTGTGCATAGTAGACAGGGAGTTGGGTTGAACTTAAGTGGGGTTTTACCAGGCAAGTATGACAAAGGGGTGGAGCAAAGGAGTTGAGTTAATAACCTACTTGACAGGTTTATGATACAGAATAATTAATGCAACTATTTCTAAGTATTTTGTAAATTCTGCTCCCAAGTATATTGTTTTACCAATCAGAATAGATTAAGTTGCACCGTCTTAAAAGTAGAATTAGCCTATGACTAGCTTCATTATTGATATCAAGCACATGTTAATCATTATATTTCATAATGCTATTAATAGCATGCCATTACAGACAACATAGTATGAGCTTTGTGTTAAACCAATAATAACTCGATGATTTCAAGGTAAGTACGTCTTATAATAATCAACGTTACAGATATGGTAATAAGTGGGAGAAATCCAGTCACTGAATGAACTCTTCTATCACCCTTAATAAAGCATAAACATCAAAATCATACAGAATCTAACCTCCCTCTCTCAGCGGCAGTTCCACAGGCAGCTACTTTCTTGCTACCAAGGATATTTTCTTGGAATAAATTTAGTTTGAATTTCCTTCCTTCCTTCCTTCCTTCCTTCCTTCCTTCCTTCCTTCCTTCCTTCCTTCCTTCCTTCCTTCCTTCCTTCCTTCCTTCCCTCCCTCTCTCTCTCCCTCGCTCCTTCTATCTTACATTATTTTGTTTCCTGTTGTTTTCTTTCTCTCCTTCCCTTCCCCTCTCCCTCTTTTCCTTTCTTCCTTGCCTTTCTTTTTACTTTTATCACCTTCTTTTTTTCTTAACATTCAGACTTACTATTAAAAGGAAAGAAAAAGCCCAACTTGTAGAATGTATCCATTCATGAGTACTACACCCACCACCTTCCGTCTTCTCTCCAGAGCTTTACTGATAATATCACTTCAGAACTTGGAGAGTTTCCATGGTAACAGTTTTCCAACCTTTTTCTTTGAAAAGAATCCCTCCTGTCCTAAGAGAAATCACCTGAAAAGTAGCCATCCAGCTGCCTTTGTTCCACTTTGTCTCAGACTTCACCCATTATCTGCAGTCAGAGTTAGGTCAAGAGCCTTGCTTGTAACTTGTGAAGTGGAGCAGCATCCACAGTGGCTGCCCAGGGCTGGGCTGAACCCTACTCCCCTCCACCCTCCACCCTTCCATCTCCCACCTGCACTTGCAGTACGTGCAGAGTCCAGGGGAAAGGGGCACATCAAAGCCTCTTTTCAAAAACATCTCAATTTTTTTAAACTGTTGCCCAATATCAAGTCCTAAAAGCAAAAACAGCAAACTCAGTTACCTGCTACTTAAGAGCAGATTTATTACATTTGGCCCAAAGCATTTTTGTTATGATCGGAATACTGTGCGTGTCACCTGGGAGAAGGGTTGGCCACAGTGCTTCACTTGGTTTCTTTGTGGATGCTGCCTTGTTTGCCCCTCTACCTGCCCTTGCTGCTCTCAATATTCCTTTTTCCCATCATTGTGGCAGAGTCTTCCTTCCTGGATAAGCAGTTGCCCTCTGGATGTAGTCATGGAAAGAGATCAGAGATTAGTCACTTAACGGTAAAGTGATATGGAGGCTCCAGTAATTTCTTTGTATGGCTCACCTTTTGCCAAACTAATAGGCTGGCACTTATTCTCTGACTGATACGCTCCTTTTTATCCACAGTCAGGAAGGGGGCATCAGTCAGTTCTGGGGCCTCCTTTGGGTACTGTCTGCATGTCTATGGCTGGCTCTTGTCTTTGCAATCTTGGCTGGAGTCTTAGGTAGCCCCAGGAACACAATAACTAGGTGTTAAGGAGTTACAAAAACCACTGAAGTAATCTTAGAGAAAAGAGAAAAACTTTGATTTTGGAAACAAGAACTACTTTGTGGGTGTTGAAAGCCATTTTTCTAAAGTGGAACTACTGTGCTAGACAACTGAAAGATTACAACTCAGGGGTGTAAATTCATGGAATAAGTCTGACTCCCTTTGTTGATGCTTACTGACAACTCTTAAGCCTTACACCTCCCTCTTCCTCTTCTGCTCCACATCTTGGGAAGCTGATAAGAAAGCCTGAGTGGTCCCTTCTTTGGCACCTGTGGGAGTTTCAAAAAGCATGCAAGCCTCTTCTTGAAGTGAGACCCCTCACTGTAGCCCTATGCCCTAACCACAGTAAAAATCCCAAGCCTGTTTCCTGTCCCTGTTTTCTCAAAGCCATTTTTAACCCAGCTTGAGAGGCAGGCTCTCCCCAGAGGCTCATTATGTAAGTAATAAGCTTTTCTATCTCCTCTTAATGCATGTGTGGTATCATCAGTATTAATATGTAAATCAAATTTTGGGTGGAAGTCCATCTTGTTTTTGTATAATGTCCACAAAAAAATTGTACATAAGAGGAGTGAGAAAAGACTCCTTCAAAGCAGGCTCAGAGCTACTCTAACAGTAGTAAAACCTTCCCCATCTCTCCATTCAGTAAAGAGGGAGGTCGATAGTCTAGAGAGACCATGAGGTTTTGCATTCCCTGAACCCAGTCCAAGCATTAGGCAGGGACAGACTTGCCTACACAATGATTAACCAGGTCTCATTCAGGGCAGAATCCAAAACTCCATCCTTTCATACGGTTCAATAATTTGTCATCTAAAGAAAGCTGGTAGAATAGAAAGCAAAGGGGTAGAATAAGAAAAATTGAAAGACAACAAAAACGGTTACTGGAGTGAATGACTTAAAGTATGTGCACACACAGTCCCAGCAAGTGGCAGAGCTGAGAGCATATATAGGTCTGACTCTGAAGACAATGCTTTACTTCTAAGAAATCTGCCCTGGGATCTTAAGTAAAACATGTCTCCACAAAGCTAGACACATGGGTGTCACCCTTGATAATTCTCCCAGCTTGCCCCATAGCCAATATTCCCCAACTTCTGTCAGTTTTGCCTCTTCATATTTTTCAAAGTATTCACTGCTCATCATCCCTGTGAACCATAGCTTTTACTAAATCACCATCTCTCTCTGTCTGAGAGTACTGGAATACTGCTTCCTAATTAGCCCTTAGCCTATTCATTCTCCATGCTGTAGCCAGAGTGATCTGAAATCCAAATTTGTTCCTCTGCATAAAACCTTTTAGTACCTCCCCATTATCCTCAAGGTAGGAATTCCTTCACATGTGTTGTCTAAGCACTCCATGATCTAGCTCATACATAATTCTCCAGCCTCATGTCTATTTGCTCCATCCTGGGGCCTTCATGATTATCCCCATCTGTACCAGGCAAGCTCTTGTCTCCATCTGGGTCTGCTCACATTCCCTTCTCTCTGCTTTTCTCAACTCCTACCCCTCCAAGGTTTCAGTGCTAATCTTCAGGCCTCATCCAGGTGATAACTTCCTCCAGGAAACCCTCTGTAAGCCCTCAGGACTGGTAAGTTGAAACTTATTCTATTTCCAAGGAAAACCATCCTTCACCACGGCACTTACCTCATTGTGCTATAACTCACTTTTGACCTGATCACAGGCCCCACTAGAATGGGCTTCCTGAATACAGGGTGACTGCCTCACACATAGTAAGGGCGAAATACATATATACAGAATGCATTTCTTCTTTTCGAGAAGATGAATTTATTTATCCATATTAATATATTCCATAAAAATCATTTTGAAATTCTGCCAACAACCAACCTTTTCATTTTTAATAATGAGTTGTTTTTTTAAATGGTAATTGAAAAATGTCTTTATGTCATAATGATTTTATTTATTTGTCTAACTTTTAGGTTTGGAGGTACATGTAAAGTTTGTTATATAGGTAAACTCATGGTCATGGGGGTTTGTTTTACAAAGCATTTCATCACCCAGGTATTAAGCCTAGTACCCAATAGTTATTTTTTCTGCTCCTCTCCCTCCTCTCACCCTCCACCCTCAAGTAGACACCAGTGTCTGTTTATGAGTTTTCATCATTTAACTCTCACTTATAGGTGAGAACAAAGTGAATTTCTTTAGGTTTCAGTTACAAATCAAGGGAGCCACAGTTAAACATTGAAAGCAAAACACCACAGTCCATGGTACATATGACAATGACTGCAGGTCCATTAACAGGAGGTTGAGCTAACCTGGTGGCTCATTAGTGAGTAGGAATGTTAGAAATTTGTACTAAAAAATTAAAAGTCTTAATCAAATAACTCAAAAATTATGTTTATAATGGTCATCATTCATGATGATATTGATAAACCCTGAATAACACATAAAAGAGAAAGACAAATGTCCAGCTGAGAATTTTTACAGGATATTAAATCAAGAAAAAAATTTAAAATCTCTGTCTGACTTTGACCATACAATTTGGAATTAGGGCAGCCCTCACTCCCAGGATAAGGAAAGCAATGAGTGGCAATCATTGTGAGCCACATTATCTGCTTTTTCTGCCACAGAAAAGCTTCATGAGTTTTTTTTTTTTTTTTTAAACCCACTTTGGGCTGTTGGGTTCAAGAGCTTCCCACTGAATAGATGAACGCTTAGGACACATTAGGAAGGATTGGGGAAAGGTCTTATAAATACCTGAATGGCTGAATGGCTGCAGGAAGTGGTGGAGCATTTTCCCCTGACATCTACATTCCATTTAGCCTTATTATATTGAGTTTTATGAGGCAAAAATGCTGCCTGGTGAGATGCTTTAGAAAATTGGGTGGTATTTCTGGATTCAAATGTGGTTGTGCATTTTTTTTTAAAGGAGCACAGGTGGGATATTTCCCTGTCTATTCATCCTTTTGATAGCACTGGAAAAAATGTATTTGGCTTAATATGAAATGGAGAAATTTAATCATTCTATAATTTGGACATACTATTAAAAATTCAGCATTGTTTCTTTGTGCCCAAGAAGGGATCAGATCAACATACTCACTGGGATTTTTCTAAACTCTTATGTTGTTCACTCCTCCACATGAAGTTGCTACTTCCTAAAAATGGAGTAAGGGTATATCGGGAGAAGCTTAATATCCTTCAGGTCTGATAAACTGGTGGACTCAACTTATAATCTTCAGGACAGAGTTACAAAAGTAATGTAAGGATGAGAGTGCATAAGCCAAAATGAAACAATTGTTGTTCATTGTTTTCTCTTGATAAGAACACAGGTAATAGAGAAAACACAGTTGTTTTAGATCCCTGAGCTTTTAAGGAAAAAGAAATCTTTTAGGTTCACAAGTCTTAGTGTATATCAGGATGTTATTCAACTACAGGTACAAATGCAGGTGAATCTCAAGCTGCTTCATAAAGACTGTTCTTTGAATACAAGGAAATTTATTGGTATCTGGTAGACTCTCTTCCTTCATCTATGAAATTATCTGAGGAGCCTATTCAAAAATTTTATTATATTTTATTAATTTTAATTCAATTACATTCAGCTGTATTGTAAAATCAATGAAGACAGAAATTATGAAAAATCGTTTTCCAACTATTATTTGGAAAATGTAATATAAAAAGATTCCATGATGATACCAACTATAAAATACTTATGAAAAGCTAGAGGAAAATATTATAGACCTATGTGAAAAAAATTATAAAGTTCTACTGAAGTCATAAAACAACATCTAAAAAAGAGACATGCAAATTATATTTTTGGAGAGAATATTTAACATTCAAAAGCATACAGTTATCTCAAATGAATCTGTATATTAAGTGCAATTCCAATAAGAATTCCAATGGGGTATTTCATAAAACTTAATTCTATAGTTTATCTGAAAGAGTCAATGTGCAGAATTAGCCAATACATTTTTAAAAAATAAACTATCGTAATTAATAAAACTATCTTATTATTGGTAAAAACTTCTTTAGACCAAACTCCAAACTTTAGAAGCAGACCCATATCTGCTTTGTAATTTAGTATAAGATAAAGGTGGCTATTTAAAGCCAATTCAAAGATGGATAACTTATTGAATAAATGGTGCTGAAACAATTAACTATGCCAATTATTAGATTGGCATAAGACTAGG